GAATAGAGTAACGCTAGCCAAAGGTTTGATATTTGTGAGGTAGGATTTCTTACCCTTTTCCTTGTGAGCCTGATTTTAAAAGAGTTTTGGCCTTGCAAATATTTTAAAGAAAGGGGCTTGGTTGCGAAAGAAAAATATTTAAAACCCATGGCTTATTGTAGTCATGGAACCCATGGTTTGTTTTAGTTCATGGGACCCACGGCTTGTGGTAGTTCGTGGGATCATAATGAACGATTTCAGAAAGTTTAATGAATGATTTCTTAAGATAAGAGATCTTGTGAATCAGCAAACTGGGTGATGACCTAGATAGGATGTAGATAGTGCATCATTAGGGGCAGAACCCGAAACCCGGCCCGGGGGTGATAAGGCTTGTGCACGTGGTTGTGTAAGTAATTTATCATAGTATAAATTACTTGCTGATGCCTGTAATATGGAGATTTTTCGTTATATTTCCTTTGAGAAAAAGGATGCGAGGTTCCGACTGTTGTGTTGGAACTGAATGTCTATATTTATTCATTTACTCATTTATTTATTTGCTTATTTACTCATTTATAAAGTTATTTTAAAATATATCCTATTTGGCATTTCGCTCACGTTTTATATGTTTTATAAATATTAAACCCCTCCCAGGCGACTCTAGGAGCAGTGCGGAGTAGCTGAGTTGCTACCACCCGATTAAGAGAGGATTATGTTCATCCTCCTAGTGTACGAATGTAATAATTTGTAAATTCTGTAAACTCTGATATTTGGATTTCTAGACTGTGGTTCTTGTCTATAATGTTATTTAAGTGTCATGTATGTACAATACTGAAGATCCTGTGGACAGATCCTGTAATTTATTTTCTGCACAATAGTGGGGCTCGTTTGGGAATTTCCTTAATATTTATTTCTTAATCGCGTTTAACCCATAATCAAGCCTCCACGTCATCGACTCTTGCTCCGGGGCGTGACATTTTTAATCAAATAATTATATTAGTCAAAATAATATTAATCAAAAATAAAGGATAAAACTCTAAATCAACGCACTTTAAAAGTAAATTCAGTAATTTTTTCAAATATTTTTAAAATTCGTTATCTTTATTCTTGTAGGTACAGCTTGTTAGCCAAAGATTTTTTTTTTCTTTTTTTTTTTATAAGGGTTGAAAGGTAATGTTCGAATCCCATAGTATGAAAGTGTTATTTCTTTATGTGTGTGTGTGTGTGTGTATATATATATATATATATATATATATATATAGGTGTTTCAGTTTCCTACACAAATCAATAATAGTCGCATAAAAGTAAACATGTAATGAACGCTTGCACCGATTATCATAATAAATTTCACTTTTTATAAAATTTAAAATCTTTTCTTAATGCACAATTATCTCACGTGCGAGAAGCGTTGATGCTTCGATCTACATAGAAATTTATCGTATGCCCGTGAAAATTTGTTACCTTAGAGCATCTCTAATGGAATAAGAGCATCTCTAATGAAATAAGAGCATTTATAATGTAATAGTATAATAGATGTGTCAATTATAAATTTAGTATTTGAGTTTAAAAATATTTTCTAATATAATATTATGTATTGTGCTAATTTTTTATGTGTTATACTTTGTGACAAATTTCCTACTTAGCATATGAAAAATTTGACATGTAATTGTTATTCGTTGAAATGTTTACTTTATCATGTAATTATTATAACCTTTGCATTTTTTAATTATTTTACAAATAAAAGTTACTTTTATAACTTTTTAAAGCTTAATGATTATAGAAAAAAGTAGATTTAACATTTCAAATAGCATTATGCATTGGAGTAAAAATAAAAATAACATATCATATCATACTTTTTTATGCTAAATATACAATTGGTAAAAATTAAAATAACATACTATATCATACTTTTTTATGCTAAATATACAATTGATAAAAAAAAAATAACATACCATATCATACTTTTTTATGTTAAATATACAATTGGCATTTTAATTTTTGTATTTTCAAATTATTTTAAAAATAGAGTTTACTTTTACAACTTTAAAAACTTGTGTTTGGTATGAGGGTTCCATGGTAGTTTAAACCTTTGGGTTTGAATTATGAGGTTTGAACTTAGATTTCAAACATGAATCTTTGAGTTTGAACCATGTGTGATTTGAACATGAGGTTAAAACCGACAAAAACCAAGGGGAGGGATGATTTTATTTTTTGAAGTTTAACATGATTAAAACATCACATCATGGTTCAAATCTTGAATATTTTCTTTTTAAATCAAACACTACTTTTGTTGGACTTCCTTCAAACCACTTATTACTTAATTTTGCAAACAAACACTAGTTTGAACCTAAACCACAGCTCGAGCCTTGAGAATCCTCAAACCAAACATCAAGCCTCAAACCAAACATCAAGGCTCAAACCTTGAATATTTTCCTTTTGTGCATGATTATGGGGAAGAGTAGAATGAGTATTTTAAATAGCATTATATATTAGAGCACAAATCATATTATACTTTTTAATGTTAAATATATAACTGATATTAACATTTACATTGGAGATGGTCTTACACAATTCTAATGTTCTTGCAATGTTGATGAATATAAGTGTTAACTCCTACTAACAGATCAACTACTAGGTGGCCACTAAAATTTTTTTTTCCTAATTTTGGATTTTTTTTTTTTTTTTTTGGTTCTAGCACTTCAAAAAGACAGATTAATGTCATCATCGTACAAGCTACATCTTTATAAAAATTTCATTATCATAATAAAGATTGTAATTATATAACAATAAAATAAGATTAGAAATCTGAAAAGATAGGTTATATTTGCGTTCAATTTATAAAGATTATTACCATAAAGACTGCAACTTTAAGGTAATTATCAATATCACATCAATAAATACAAAATGATGAAAATAAGTACCCTATACAAAATTCTCCCTAAATTATGACTCATGCAACACTTTACTTCTCATTCTTCAAAATGTAGAACTCATGCGCCAACTAAATAAAGCATATGGCAAATTTCCCACTAAATATAATATATGAAAAATTTGACATTTGATTGTTATTCGTTAAAATGTTTACTTTATCATGTAATTATTGTAACCGTTGCATTTTCTAATTATTTTAAAAATAAAACTTTACTTTTACAACTTTTAAAGCTTAATGATTATAGGAAAAAGTATATTTAGCATTTCAAATAGCATTATGCATTAGAGCAAAAATAAAAATAACATACTATATCATACTTTTTGATGTTAAATATACAATTACAATTACAATTTTTGTATTTTCAAATTATTTTAAAAATAAAGTTTACTTTTACAACTTTAGAAAAAGTTTCTTTTTGGTATGAGGGTTTAAACCATGGTGGTTTAAACCTTTGGGTTGGAATTATGTAGGTTTTGAATTATGAGGTTTGAACTTGAGTTTCAAATTATGAATCTTTGGGTTTGAACTATGTGTGATTTGAACATGGAGTTCAAACCGGCAAGAACCAAGGGGAGGGGTGGTTTTATTTTTTGGGGTTTAGCATGGTTAAAACATCACATCAGAATTCAAATTTTGAATCTTTTCTTTTTAAACCAAACACTGGTTTTGTTGGACTGCCTTCAAACCACTTTTTACTTAATTTTTACAAACAAACACAGGTTTAAACCTCAACCACAGTTCGAACCTTGAAAATCCTCAAACCAAATATCAAGGCTCGAACCTTGAATCTTTTCCTTTTGCGCATGATTATGGGAAAAAGTAGATTTGAGTATTTTAAATAGCATTATATATTGGAGCACAAACCATATCATACTTTTTAATGTTAAATATACAACTGATATTAATATTTACATTAGAGATGATCTTACACAATTCCAATGTTCATGCAATGGTTGATGAATATAAGTTTTAACTCCTACTGACAGATCAACTACTAGGTGACCACTAAAAAAAAAAATTTCCTAGTTTTGGACTTTTTTTTTTGTTCTTATTCAAGAAAAAGAAGCTATAAAAAGGGGCATTTCAAAAAGACAGATAAATGTCATCATCATAAAAGATGCATCTTTATGAAAATTTAATTATCATAATAAAGATTGTAATTATATAACAATAAAATAAGATTAGAAATAAAAAAAGATAGTTTATATTTGCGTTCAATTTATAAAGATTATTACCATAAAACTACAACTTTAAGGTAATGAACAATATCACATCAGTAAATACAAAATGATAAAAACAAACACCCTATACAAAATTATCTCTAAACTTTGACTCGTGTAACACTTTACTTTTGAATCTTCAAAATGTAGAACTCATGCCCTCCGAACATGAATCATTAACAGATGAGTGTTCTAATAGAAAAGTGGCTCATATTGAATAATTTGGAGGGTTTTGGCAATCCTACTTGTTCTTAAAAAATACTACTAATTATAAATTAAAAATTTCTAAATAATTTTTTTAATGAATTAATTAGATTAAATTTAAAAATATTGTTATATTGTTTTATTTTATTTATTTTCATATAAAATTAAAATTAAAATTTATTTTAAAAAATATATAAATCTAAGAATCATGGTCAGAAGAGTAATTGTTTAGCAATAATCAATGTTTGAAATACTAAAGAAAAAGCATTTTTGTTAACAATTTATAATTCAAAGGAATTTATAATTCAAAGGAACGAGTGTTATGTTTTAAAAATCAGGAGTCAAAATATTACACTAGTCATAGTTCAAAATTTTTTTGTAATTACTCCTTTTTTAAAAAAGAAATAACCACAAACAATTATTTTAAAAAAAAATAGAAAAATCATGAAAGTAAAACCGTGTAGATAAATTTTAAACTGAGATTCTTAAAATAATCATGTTATGCAGTACTTCTATGTATACAAGTTCTCAAAGTTCAGTACTGAGATTTTTAAAATAATCATGTTATGCAGTACTTCTATGTATGCAGTACTGAGATTTCTGAACTTTTTTTTCCTTTTCAAAATATAGGTCCTTCTATTAGGTTTTAATTTCACATTTAAAAAAAAAAAAAAAAAAGATTTGCTCTTTATCTTTATTTGAAAGGATTTAACCTCTTTCCTTCTAAAATTAGCTTCTTAACTCCTCATTTACCAAGGATGTTTTTTACATACAGGCTACGAGCCTATACAACATTCAATCGAAGCACACTTGGGACTCTGGCAATACCATACACTTTTAACACTTCCGGAATGAACTTAGTAAAATCCCTCCTTAATTAGAACATCCATAAAATAAAATCAACCTACTGATGGCCTTTATACACCATTACAGTGATCTTCATCCACACAGAATTCAAGGATAAAGAGACTATTGCATCTTCATATTCTTCACCTAACGAGCGGTATTAGTAGATACTCGGCGTAAAAGAGCTGCAATAAGAAACAAGCCAAAATCAACAACAACAACAAACGTAAATACATCATTGATGTTGAAACTGAGTCCCAATAATCAGAAACAATGTGCACTCATTTACAGTCAAATGCGCCAAAACATTTGAGCTAAGAGTCGAAATATGTTCAAAATGAGAAGTGTGTGGGGGCATCGGGAACCCCTAGCTTCGCAAGCGAGAGGGGCGGGCCCTACAGTGCGGAGGAAGTCTTATTGTCTGGAACTGGAACTTGTCAAGACAGATTCTACATCCTAAGGCAGCTCAAAAAGTACGGGCATGATATTTGAAGCAAATTTTGAGGACTTCAATGAGAGAGAAAAGCAATTGATAACATCACGGCCCTTCAGAGGTAGCTTTCGAAGTATTAGGAGAAGACTCATGTAGCCAAAAAAAACATCAAACATGAGGCTCATTTAAGATAACACAGAGGAGGACAAATATTGGGGATGCCAACTGCAAAAACTGAGCCAATACACAAGACAAGAGAAAGTTCGGCATTCGGTCACCCAAGATGCAAAGCAGACAAGTTTTTTGATTTTTTTTTTTTTTTTTTTTTTTGTCTTGTACCAAAGTCCAACAAGTGTAAGCAGGTAGTTACCTTCCATATAAACATGTAAAATGATGTTATTGCAGCTTTGCTGGTCAGATCGACGGACTTGGCACGACTCCAGAGTAATGAAGCCAAAATTGTGTGTCCCAAAACCTAACAGGTCCAAAAACAGAACATAGTTGAGCCACTGAGCACCGTGGCAAGGGAAAAGAAGAGCATCGATATCACCAAAGAAATTCCTATAATGAAACTAGATAAGCTACCATCAAACTTCCAGAACTTTTCAATCTCATTTACCTAAACAAAACAGTCATTTTAAGTGAGACAATTTTAACCTTATGCGTAAAACCAGACTAATCCAGCCCTCTTAAAAAGAGGAGTCCTGATTTCAAGGCAGATGGCTCCAGAATGTCAAGAATGAGAAAATACTACATAGCCAGAAAAGAAACCGAAATGTATTCATTTTTGAAAAGGTTCATTTGATTGCACTATTTCCATTACCGCAATTTGGCTACATTTGCTTTTTCATAGTTAACAAGAAACCAGAAACTAGTAGTTCAATAAGCTACAGCAGATTAAAGAGCATCAGTGCCTACAATGAAGAATTTCAAACATTACCGTAGCAACTTTGCTCCATAGGAAGCCAGATGACGCGCCGACTAAAAGGGCAACGGAATAAGCAATTTCAAGGAGTGAAATGCAGATCCAGAATACCTGCACAGTGGTTTAGGTTCAGCTAAATGATGTAATAAAGATGAATAAAAATGCTTAAACGCATGTATGGACCATGCAAACATTTAATACTAACCCGCTTTTGACCCAACCGCACTGTAAAAGATCGAATACCATATATCCTGTCCCCATCAATATCAGGTATATCCTGTGCATTTTGTTGGTTAAAAAATGAATAATGCCACACAAGTACAACAAAAGCAGAAAGAAAAATCAACAAAGGGACGCATTTTCAACAGTTCCTATAGTTATACATTTCGCTGTTCTCGGGATGAAAGATAGCTCTTACCTTAAACAATGCTATAACGACTGAGAAGAAGCTCATAAATGCAGTCGCAAAAATAAGAGGCCTCGAGAAGACAGCTGGTCTTTTGTACACATGGGTCTGAAAAACAATGCATATACCTCAGTACTTATAACCTTGAAACCGCATTAGACAATCTATTTGCAGGTATGTACATGGTAAACATTGTCTTTGGCCTTAAATTTCATGTAAGAGTAACATATTCCCTCACACTCTATTGAGGTCACTGATAAAGTAACCAAAGACTAATATTTCCAACCACTCAGTAATATGCATAATAACTTTTCAAGAAACTAAAGCCTATTATGCTCTATTATATGCATCAACATCACTATAAATGAGATTAAAAGGCTTCTTTTCTATATCATTAAATTCTCTTAAGAGCAAATAGCCTGCAACACAAGAAAGAAACAAGAATGCATAGACCACGCATAACACGAAAAACTATGAATGTGTGAATATGTAACTTTTGACTCGGAAAAACATGAGAAAAAAAATTTATTCAAAAGAAGTAAGAATCATGACCTGCATGTGCAGGAAAAACGCTAGTTGAACAATTACTGCACGGACCGCAAGGATGCATATCGCTGCAACTACTGCAAATCTCTTCCATCTCAAAAGGGGCACCTGACATAAAAGGTTTCAAAAACTAACAAGTGAGAAACCAAGTCTAATATGTGAGAAAATTTCTGCCTTAACTTTTACAACATGAATGGTACCTCAACATCTTAATCAGGTATAAACTATATCTAAAAATAGCATATAAAAGTAGTTAGACATCACAGCTGCAAACTTACACGAGACTAAACCAACTCACATTGATTGAATAAGCAGTACCCAGTACGAAACTTATGAAAAGGGCCCAAAACAAGGGCCAGGAACCAACGATCCATGCGAGGCAAAAGCCCTGAAAAAAATTAGTTAAAATTTCTTTTAGGCAGAATTCAGATTCATTGCACAAGACATCAAACTCAGAGACAAGTATATCAAATGGAATGATACTATTTTATCAGGGCCTATATTATTATTACAAAAAGAAAAATCTGTATACATAAATGTGTGCGCGCGCTTGTGCATGTGCATGTGTAAAGAATATCAAAATACAATGACAGAAAAATAAGTTATCTTTTAGGACCCAGAAAAAAAGGGGAACAAAAACAAAGAATAGAACAAGTTACAGGGTATCTTTCACCTTAAAGGATCAAATAGAAAGCAATATTACTTAAACTCCAAAGACACATAAACTGAATCTTCACCAGAAAGTCGAAAAACCAAGATTTTTGTCCTAAAATAATATGACTATATGTTGACAAATAAATGACCAAAAACATGGTGAAAAATGCACACAGTACTGTAAAGTACCCTTTTGTTAAAACAAAAAACAATGGGGGTTTTTTTTTTTTTTCAACTGCTACGGGAGTTTTATGTGATGATAAGATGCCTATTAAGTTGAAAGGAAAATTCTATAGGACAGCAATTCACCCAGCAATGTTATATGGTAGTGAATGTTGGGCCATTAAGAGACAACAAATATACAAGATGAGTGTGGCGGAGATGCGTATGTTAAGATGGATGAGTGGCCATACGAGGATGGATCACATACGGAATGAAGTTATTCGTAGTAAAGTAGGTGTAGCACCAATAGAAGATAAGGTGCGGGAAAGCCGTCTAAGGTGGTACGAACATGTACAACATAGATCGTTAGATGCACCTGTTCGTGCTTGGGAGAACATCCAAATACCTAGTACTAGGAGAGCGAGGGGTAGACCAAGAATTACTTGGACTGCCGTAGTTAGGCACGACTTTCAAGATCTAGGGCTTCAAGAGGGTCTCATGTTTAATAGAGCATACTGGAAACGAGAAATCCATATAGCCAACCCCAATTAATTTGAGATTAAGGCTTGTATTTGTTGTTTTTTTTTTTTTTTTTCAACTAAAACACAAACTCTATACATTCAAGTGAATAAAATATCAGAACACTGACGAACAAAACAAGAAATAATCATGCGATAGAATGGTTATATTAACAAAAACAAAGAGTAGGTACGGAAAATCTTTATATACATTCCTTGTTTGTAAATGAAGACATAATGCAGGTACTTAAACGAGGAAACAAACTTGGAAAAACTATGACATTAAAGGAATTGGATGTCATAAATGAGTAAATCAAAGGCTGCTACTTCTAAACCTATGCATCTCCTCATACACTGATATACTAAGAGATTCATATGCAAAAATGGTCAACTTTCTTTTTCATCTACCCGATCCCCTTGAATCTTATAATGTGCAATTCAAATTAAATAGTTTTGCTAGGGCAAAAAACTAACAGCAGAACAAATTGATTTTTGATACTTAGTAATTACAAATAAACCAGTTTTAATAAATAATTAAATATAATAGGTATTAGGTTGTACCCCGTGTTTACACCAAGTCAAAAACTCAAAACAGAAGGCAACGAATAATTTTTTTTTTTTTCTTTTTGCAAGAAAGATACAGACTTCGACTCCAGAAGGGCAATCGTGAATATTTTAGTTAATATATTTTGTATGGCAAGCTATTTTTGATACCAGAACAGCGAAGGATGTGACAATCATGGTGCCAGTTCGAACTGAATATTCCCCTGAAGCCAATGGAAGATATGGCTTGTTAACCTGTAATTCAACATGTAGTAAAGATCTACAATTAGACGATCCTCTATATATCCCATGTAGATAGTCTTTCTTTCAAAGATTAACAAATATGACAAACAACTAAATACTTTTATGAGAGGATTCCGAGTCGAAAGAGCCTCTCCAGTCTAAAAACTCAAATGATTTTCCTAGTGGTGCAATGACCTTATGGTTGAATATATGAAGGAAAAATTGGTATTATCTTTGCAATTAAAATTATTACCACAGTACGAATAAGATAGCAAGATCTACCTTGTCTATATCAATGTCATACAATTGATTCAAACCAACAATGTAAATATTCATAAAGAGGGCAGCAACCACAGCCTGAAAAGGAAAAATCCGCTGCATAAGACCAATACCTATGATGCTATTAAAAAAAAAAAAAAAAAAGGGGAAAAAAATGCTCAAAATATTGAAGCGTCACCTCCAGCACCCCAGTGAAAAATAATGGGGAAAAATCTGAAAGCTTTTGAACTGCAAGGAGGGAAACCGAGACTATGCTCAATGCCTGCTTAGAGAAAAGTCAGTAAGCCCTCTCGAGGATTGGACAGAGGAAGTTACATATCAAATGAAAGAGATTTAAATACAATGGCTAAATTGGATTCTCCGTATTTGAGTTTAGACTTACTGTGCCTATGACTGTGTGTGGCCGAGAAAACCTGTAAAAAGCATCTAAGGCGTCTTTAGTAGAGTTCCAAACATCTTTTGAACTAATGGCTTCAGGCTCCGATTCGAGCGGGTGCCCTGCTGTTGCATTCACCGGGAATCTTTTGTTTTGTCTCTGGTAAAACGTAGAAGTTAGTCCACTACCTTTCCTGCAATTCTTCGGAATGGTAGGTTGAAACCTAGCAGTGCATTGACTTTCTATGAAGTTCCATTCTCTGACACTTTTAACACTATATGATACATAAGAACCTGCATTATCAAATATTGAGAGGAAAGTGTCATTGCGGAATGCAGAAAAACACATACTACTAGGCAATTGATGTCCAAAATCCTAAAAATCACAACAATTAATTATCCCACGAAAAGAATTTTCATCTCTCGTTCAGAGATAGGTGCCAAAACCCAATAGAAAAACATTAAAAAAGTGTAAAACATTCTGGAAACAATATATATATTTGTCCTAACTAGAGAAAATAACATCGTCAAGCTTATGTCCCAATAGGAGTTTATCAGTGTCAAATAACATCAAACAATCTAGAGAAAACTTGAAAGCCGAATCTAAGCTAGTTTTCGGTGTGTAGATCATCCCCCCTTCACGTATATTGTCTACGACCCCGAGATCTGTTGCCTGGGAAGTTCTACTTTTTTCCTTTCTCCTCTTTTTGTGTTTACTTCCTACAAGCTATATATTAGCTTCAGCCAGTTTTTCAATCTCTAAAAATGCAACTAAAACAACCATTTTTACACATCATAGCAGCATCCTAGGGCCAGTAAATAGCAGTAAAAACGCATGGCTTCCATCAAAGCCATGCTCTTTATTTCTTCACTGTCTTGTGCTATGATTGGCGTTATAAGGTTCAAAAGAAGAAAACCAATTGATGAAATAAAGGTTCTCCTCAACAACCAAAATAAATGAATAAATTCCTTTCAAAAAAAAAATTAATGAATAAATGAACAAACAGAAACAAAAAAAAATAATAAAAAATAAAAAAACACAGAGAGAGAATGAGAGAATAAAATGATAATAATAATTAAAAAAAAAACACATGAAAACTGAAGCCCCGTTAGAAATGAAACAAGATTATGTAAAGCAATCACGGTTTCATTTGACTGCCCGAGACAAGACATGTTCACATGTCATTTGAAAACAAAAAATAACAAAAAAATAAATAATAAAATGTCATAACAGTATTAGATGGGTGAATCATACCTGAAAAGCAAACTTTCTTAAGATTTTATTTCTTAAAATCATTCGCTCATGTGAATATTTATAAGCCAATTCCAATACAGAAAATAAATGAAAATCAATGTCACAAAAATATGAACGAATTGGAAATGCCCAAAATTAGAATAATAATAATAAAAAAAAGAAGAAATGTGCAATGAGAATGCAAATAAATCCCAAACCGAAGGGGACCCAGATGAAAACACATGAACTAATTCACATTCCGAAATTGAACATTTAAAAAAAAAAACGTGAATAATCTTCAAAACTCATCATCAAACTAAAATGGACATGCACAATAAAACGTGAATAATCTTCAAAATTAATTATCAAACTAAAATGGACATGCACAAGAAGATTCTTAAACCCCCCCCCCCCAAAAGAAGAAGAGAAAAAAAAATAAAAAAAAAGGAAAACCCAAATCAAGAATTTTGATAAAAATGCAGAGAAGCGAAAGGAAACGCACCATTTGAAAGTAGAGAAGGACCTTTTAAGGAACCCAGAAGCAAAGAATCCATGGCGATTGATAAACAAGAACAAAAAAACAAGGAAAAATCACACTCTCGCAAGCGAAGGAAGGTTTCTGAATTTTTTTTTTAAAAAAAAAAAAATGTTCGGGGCTGTTTTATAGAGTTTTTGGGTTTCAAACGGCGACGTTTGTTTTTTATATTTGTGATTGATTTTAAATCACGATTTATAATTTTTTATAATATTTTTTCTCATAAAAAATACACATAAAACGAAAATGATTCTAAATTATGATCTGAATACATAAATTAAACGTATTATCTATACAAATTCACAATTTGTTAACTTAAAATGAGATATAATTTTATATAAGAATTTTTTATTATAAACTCAAATTAATAAAATAAATATAGGGCCCGTTCGATTCGTTAATTTAAATTTTTAATTTAAGTTGAGATATAATGTTATACGAGAGTTTTTTATTATAGTAAAAAAATTAAATGTGATTATTTTTTAAAATTTTTTATTATAACAAAACTTAAATTTTAAACTTGAATAAGTGAAAAGACGTTGTAATCAAAATAAAAATGTTGTTTGTTTGTTTGGGTAGAGTCGAGAAAACAAACGTGTTAGAGTTTGGAACTCCGTGCAAGCGGAGAAGACTCCTACACAGTTCGTCGACTTGAGAGTGGCCCACTAAAAGAGACATGAGATGGAGCGGACGCGGTTGTTTGTTTTCGTTTTGGAAAGAAATGTACATGCCTACTAAATATTAAAAAACATTTTAAAAACCATAAAATAGAACCCAAATAAAAACAAAATTTATTGGACCATATTATGATCTCCATTTCAGATTAATTTAAATGTTCAGATTAATTTTTATTTTGAGCCTCAAATTATTATCTCCATTTCATTTTGGACCATAACTTTAAAACCTTACATCACGTCTCAATTTGTTGAAAAGTCACAAGTCACAATCATTGTAAATGTTTCGTAAAAAATATTTTGTGATAGGAAAATTTTCTTTTTACTAATTGTAAATTATTATTTATTTTAAATACTTTTAAAATTTATTATTTACTTAATTTAATTTTATAAATCTGCACTTTATTACATTCTCTCAAAACTCAACATAATTAACTACGCCACTTTTATATTCATGTGTATTCAAACAAATTTTTACCAATAAAAAATTTAACCTTGACACATTGCCAGTTAGCCAACAAGCTCATATAGAGAAAACATAATTTTTTTGTATTTTTTAATTTTATTTTTAGCTTCATTAACAAGGCGTATAAGGAGTGGCGGAGTGGAAAGTTCTTTTTAAATGTATGAATGAAACTAAAAATTCGAGCTAAAATTATAAAGTAACTATATTTTTAAAAGTTTATATGTTCTTTTACTTTCATTTATCTATATGTATCTTTTTTTCGTTCCTCCAATACTTACTCAACTTTGCAATAGAATTTAATTCACTTTTAAAGTTTAGTCCAAATTATAAAATTTATTTATGCAGCAATATAGTTACTCTTTTTTTTTTATGTAACAATATAGTTACATTTTAGTTTAATCGAGGTTTTAAATTTGGAATATAAATATATTTAAAAAAGTTAAATTTGATATATAATTGAAATTTATTAATTTTAGGGAACAAGCTAGTGAAAAATTATATATATATATCTAAACATACCTAAAAGAGTTAAAACAAATTGCTTCTCTTTTAACAATGTGTGAACATTTAATTTATTCCTTCATATTTTGTTTTTGTTTTAATTTTTGTTTTTTGTTTTTTACTTTTTTTATTCTTTTCACTTTTGATTTCTTGTTAATTCTTCTGCCTTTTTTCGTTATATCATCGCGTTCTTAATATGAGACTTTTTAATAGATTGAAGTGCAACTTTATTGTTTTGAAATTCAAGGATCAAATATATATATATATATATATATCTTTATCTCTACCCTTTAATTTTTAACATACATGACAGAAAAATTTTTCATTATTTTTGACAAGTGGCATGATAAAGAGATTTTTCCTTTTTGACACACTAGTTTTATAACGTTCTCCGCACATATTTCAGTGTTAGTGATATTTAAAGAGTTTATTATTTATTAAATAAAGATAAATTTATTTATACAACTATTTAATGTTTTTCATATTTATTTTAAAAAGGAATGTCTAAAGATAGCAATTGACAAAAAATTAAGTAGGGATACATTTGAAAAAAATTATTTTAGTCAACTTAAAATAAATAGGAACACATGTAAACAAAGTTACTCTCATAGGAGTAAAGTGAGGAATAATATATTTAAAAAAACACACAAAAAATTAAAATGTAAAAGAAAATCACAAAAAATAAAATAAAAAAATAAAATAAAAAAGTAAATGGAGGGATTACCACATAGCAGCCCATAAAAAAGAGCTTTGGTTCTTTTACGTATTGTTATATTAGATTAGATGTATAGAGAAGAAAATAAAAAAAGGTAATATGCAATGGGAAAAAAAGAGAGAGAAGAAAAATAAAAAAGTCAAAAAATGAAAAAATAAAAAAAAAGAGAAATTAAAAAATAAAAAAGAAAAATGAGGCACAACTTTTATAGAGGCCAATACGTGGCCTCCTTAGAAATTAAATCTTTAGCTCTTTTAAGTATGTATAGATAAAATCACGTTTCTGTTTTCTTTTCTTGTTTTTACTAAGACATTTTTCTGATTTTTTTTCTTTTTTTTCGACAGTTTCTCTGGTGGGACAATAGTCATTACTTAAAATTATCAAATTCATATTAGAAACTGTCTTTTATGTATATTTTTTACATTTTGATATAATTTTTATTAAATCTAACGGTTAGAAATTGACACTATCAGTAAAAAAGGTCCTACCAAAAAAAGTCTCTTATTTTTTAAAGTTCTTGTACAGTTTTTTTTTTCCAATGATGTGTATTTTTCTTTTTTGTTGAAATACTTTTTCTTCTTGCTTTGTACTTGCTAAAATAATTTATTTTAAATATTATCCATATATATTTCTTTAAAAAAAATGTATCCCTATTTTTTCCTTTTTGTTAACGACTCTTCTGCATTTTAATTCTTTTTTATGTGTTTTTCAAAACGCCTATGAAAATAATTTTTATAAATGTGTCCATACTTAATTATTCTTTCATGTATACTTTTTTTTTACTAAAAGTGATTCGGATAATTCTTTTTGTTAAAACAATCCCCGTAAAACAATCTTTTCTCATATATGTTCCTTTTTAAGCAGCTTTCTCACCTAAATAAAAGCCTCACACCGCAATTTATTTTGCTTCCTCTATGTGATCAATGCTTTGCTTTTCATTTTTTTTTCCTTTTCTTAGATATTTTCCCTTTTTTTTTTTTGTTTGGTGATTTTTCTTTCATTTGTTCCTATTAGAATAATTTTTCTCAAACACAACCCCATTTTTTACTTTTTTTTTTCCTATAATAATAATTTTATAGTTTCAACCAAAACATTTTGATCAAATCTTTTTTTTTTCTTGTCTTTTTAACATTTTAACCATGACTTATTGAAGTAATTATTCTCAAATACCTCCATATACACATATATTTTCTCAGCAGTACTCTCATCTCAACTATTATTAATCTGGCAAATAAAACTATTATAATTTATCTTTATTGAAAGTTTCTTTCACATGATGAGCCTACTCAATATTTTTTTTTTAAATATGGCCCTCATAAATATTTTCTTCTCTTTGTTTTATGGAAATCATATATTCTTAAATGTGTCTCTACCTAAATATTTTTTTCCTTGTAACTCTCTCAAGTACATTTTTTTCCATATATACCCGTAAATAATTTACTCTTTAATTTGTTCTACTAAAAACTTTATTTTCCGTTTAACTATACTATACTTGTTTTTTATTTTTTTATTTTCTAAACTCTTAAAAAATAATGTGAATAAAAAATTTAAAAAAATTTTAAATCCTCATATAAAAATATGTAACAAGTTAAATATGCACGCGGAGAGCGCGTACTTTTCAACTAGTATATATATATATAAATATAATAAGCAAATAGGATGCGGCCAGCTGCACCCGAGCCAAGGTAGCTATATCATCGCGTTTTTAATACTGACACTTTTTAATAAATTGAAGTGCAATTTTATTGTTGAAATTAAAGGATTAAAGTAAATCATGAAAAAATAATCTTAAATATTGAATATAGGGAAAATATCATTTTGATACTCTGTGTTATAAAAATCATCTGTGTTATAAAAATCATGGCGTTTGGTACCCTCTGTTTTTTTAGAATATCAAGTAGTACGCGAGGGAAGTCTTTCGGGATATCAAATGACAAATTTACCCTTACTAATAAGCTTGTAATTTGCCATTTGGTCACCAAATGAAAATTATTAATAAGGGTAAATTTGTCAATTCATGTCTCAAACAATTGTGCCAGGGAAAGACACATTTTATAAAAACGTCGAACTACTTAGTTGATATTAATTAAAACACATGATATCAAACGTATATTTTGACATAACACAGGATATTAAAATAAAATTTTCTCTCAAATATTTGTATGTCGGTCAAATCGTAGATATGCATATTTTTGCCCTCATATACACATATACAAGCCAACTTCGATACGGTTAGTAACAGTAGTGGATAGGGTTTTCTCTGTATTTAAGCCAACTTAGGTAGGATTAAAATTAATTCCTTCTCTTTTCTCTTTGTTAGATCTGGGTTAATTACGTTCAGTTGCTCGAGTAAAATAAAGTGCAGAAAGTAAAGGAACACACAATATGATATCGCAGTTCGGTGCGCACACCTACTCTGCGAAGCCACTCCCAGACAATAAACAGTTTCACTATGATTTAAGAATTACAACCTTGACGAACTTATTCACTCAAGGACTCCCTCCTAGTCTATGATGCCGCTGTGATGAACTCTCACAATGACATTGTTTAGCGTGTACCACACGTCTTCACCTTTAACTGCTGAACTCCCTTCAATTGTTCATACTTTCAATGAGAAAAAACATAAACTACAAATTGTTCTGCTTAAGCATCGATTCTCTATCTCAAGATTTTTTCCTGTAGTCGACCCACCTTTTCCTGCAGAGCCACTTCCCATATAAACCCA